TGAGAATATTCTCCAGCAGCTGATTCTCGTCTTGGACTAGCTTTATTTGCTTCTGCAGATGACCAGAAAAAAGTCAATACGGTGAAGGATAAGAACTCCATGGCAGTAAGCTCACATCGGTAAGCATATCTCATTCATCATTATTTAACAAGACCTGGATGTATAATTTATCAAATAAGCTACAATTATGTTATGCAAAAATGGACTTCTTTATAAAAAAAATACTACACCTCAAACCAAGAAGAGAGCAAAATCTACAGATGTCACCACCACAAACAAATGGCACAGTCAAACTATATTTGGGAAACACTATCAAGTCTTTGCTACTTGTAACACGGGAAAAAGGTCCATTTTAAAGCAGGGAGCTAGTTCTTACGTTGAAACTTGAACATTCCCTCAAAGCACCCCAAAAGCACAGAAAAGAAGCAAATTATTGTCAGGTAAAGTGAATGGGTTAGATGAATTTTAACCAATATCAACATCTGGTTGACCGGCCACATTCAAGTTATAGGTCTACAGAAACGTAAACAATGTAAAGGACATGCATACACTTACTATATGGGATCCAGTAGATGAATCTTCCTTGATGTGCACGTTGCCATGTATATTTGTTTAATCTGTCTTTTTTCTGTTTTACATTCCTAGAGTAAATGCTAAATTGTCTCTGTTTCTGTTTCCCATCTGATCTACCCCAGCAGTCAAATATAGAACACACATAGATACACCTCCATAACACACTACAAGGTGCATATACACCTGTTTGCATCTACCCACACCTGCGAACAAACACACAGATCTATGGACATTTATATGTTCCCTCCATCCCAATCCGAGCGTCCTATTTAGCTTGGGGAATTAACTAAGCGTTGAAACTGTAATCATTAAATGAATGAGGGTAAAAGATGGAGATAAAGCTACTAGCATTCACCACATTTGAACAATTTTTTATAGTATTAGTGTGACCAAACTACCAAAGTACCTTTTAGACAACTCAATATTGAAAAGAAGTGAGTAGCATAGAGAACACTTCCCCTTTGGAAAAATGTATACAATTTGGGAACAATTACTATGCAAAACAGAAAGCAGGACAATTAATTGAGGGTATACTCGAACTAAACAAACCTGAGGTTTTATTGCTTCTTGAACAGTTCGAAGTGCGAACTCTTCAGGTGGCCCTGGGCGCAGGATAGCCTGCCTAAACAAATCCTGTAAAATATCAAACCAAAACTTTAAGATGTTAACAGATTTTCAATACATAAATAACTGTTTTTGTGTGCTTGTGCGGAAAGTTCCTATGTCTTATCCCCATTTTAAAGACTGCGAAAATGGGTGAAGAACATCGACGGAGAACTAACAGAAGAAAGATAAACCATATAGCTTTACCATATTGAAGATTGAGTGGTTCTTTTTTTTTTTTTTCAAATTTTCTTAGGCGAGAGACGCTATAAAATCATGCCAAAACGATACATCTGTAGTGAGAGAAGGGAAGCAGAGACTGCTGGGGTTTGGGGGGTTTTCTTGAATTTCCTCAAGTTTTTGACTCTTCTGTTCCGGTTTATTATGAATTAAAAAACACAAACTAATGAATAACGATAGAGTGAAATATTATTTGCTATTAATATATTTGTTGGTGTCTCAAAATCATTAAGAAATATATAGTTTTTGTTAATTGTTAAATAGGTACAAGTAAGTTTGGGGAAAATGGGGAATTCCTCGGCCATAAGTTTTTTCTATTTTTTTCAAAAATATTATTTGGCTATATAAGAAGTTGAATTTTCAAGCTTTAAAAAGTGATTTAGACTAGTTTTTCAAGTTTTCTCCTCACGAAACTTCATTTTCTTTTCAACTATAATACATATTTAAACACAATTTCAACTTTCAAAAATCATTTTTCATCTCATATTCAAACACTCATTTTTTCAAGTTTCAATCAACAATAACTTTTAATATGTTAAAGAAATATTAGACAGTGACTCTCTCCAAGTTGGTGCTATTTTCTGCTAGCCAAATCCATAGCCGGTGTAATAAAAAAATGCATCCATATAGCCTCCTGAACTCGATGCAAGATTTAATTTTAGCACCTCCATTTTGCATGATAAATATTGACTAGAATGTGTGTATTGAAGTTTTTATTACTATTCAGTATAGAATGTGTGAAATTTTTATGCGTTGATGTGATAAAGTAATGAACCAAATAAAATGAGAGTCCACCTAACCTAAAAAGGAAACTTTTGAGCCCAACAAAAAATTATTATTCTTCTTTAATTGGCCAATTCTAATTACTAGAGGACTTGGTTGGACAAACCTATGGTGTACCGAGTGTTATGCTAATAGCAGTGTCCGGTGCCTAAGTTGGTATAAAATAATTGTTGCGTCGCAGGAAAAATCACAATCCAATCGTCAAACCTCAAAATTATTTCTTTGCACATATTCTTAAAAGGGCTAATTTCGTGACATTGTTCTTATTAATTCGGACGATTTCTAAAATTGGTGGATAGCATGTGGTGATTTAAGTTAGTCTTTTGCACCAAATAAGTTAATCTCTATTATAAATTTATCCTCAAGTAAGTCTAACACATTTTCTTAATGGTATCATTTCTCTTTTGATATTTGTCAAATTATTAGTCTGTTTGGTCAAGCTTCTCAAGAGATCAAAAGTATTTTTTTTTTCCTAACTTGAGTTGTTTGGCCAAGCTTTTTTGGGAAAAAAATACTTTTGGGAAGAAGCAGAAGCAATTTCTGAGAAGTAGAAAAAAATAGTTTCTTCCTAAAAGTAGAATCAGAAGTTGTTTTAAATTTTCTTCTTACCAAAAATTCTCTTAACAAAATATAGTATATACCAAAAAAACCGTTAAACCTAATATTTAGGATATTAATGTATAAATATTTTTTATTATTTTTAGGATAACTTTCTAATATATAGTGACTTTATGGGTGAATGTTTTTATATTTGTTGAATAATTTTTAATATATTTAACTTATATCAAAAGAATTAAGTACTTTTAAAATTTATTTTCATATTTTACTTAAATAAAATAAAAATATTTAATTATTGCATGTAATAATAAATTTTTAAGATTATTTATGTACTTATAATATTAACTATTAAGCAAATCTATTCATGTTCTTATTCGTAATTTGATACTTAAAAGCACTTTCTGAAAAACTTAGCTAAACACAAATTATTGCTCAAAAGTGTTTTTATAGTGATTAGCCAAACACAAACTATTTATCTACAAAAGTACTTTTGAAAAAAGCACTTATCAAAATAAGTTGATTTCTCCAGCTTGGCCAAACAAGCTATATGTCTCACTTATTTGAAGTATACCTGTTAATCGGGCCGGGCTGACCCGTTTACAACCCGGGTCAGTCCGGTACTGTAGGGTAGGGGAGAGGGGCGGGGACGGGTTGGGCAGGGAGCGGGTTTCAAACGAATAATTTTTTGATATCGGTGCACCGAAACCCGTTAACCTGTTAACGGGTTTTTAACGGGCTACAGCTCGGTTCAACCCGTTATCCGTTACAATTTTTTGTTCTTTTTTTTTTCTTTTTTTTCTGGACCGTTGCCAGCAGCCAAATTCAAATACAACCGTTGGCCAACGGCCCTTTTTTTGCAGAAATGGCCATTTCGGCCTACCCTTTAAGAAAAATAGCCCCCACACCCATAATATTTGATAAATTATAATTTTAACCTTTTAAAAACTATAAATAGCCTCCTTTCTTCTTCATTTTTCCTCACAATTCACTCTCTTACTACTCTATTTCTCTCTCAATTCTCTCTTGATATTATTAATTATTATTCTTAAATTCTCAATTACTTATTATTTCAAGTTTCATTAAATATTTAGTTTAGCCATTACAAAATTATTATTATCAAATATCAAGTATTCAAGTGAAGTGTGGTATCAACTATTAAGTATCGATCTATCAATTGACATGGATGAACTTACAAAAATGATGCAAAGCATGTGATGTACTATTTTTTTTTTTATAATTGTTGTAAACTTTTAATTTTCAAGTTCAAAAATAACAAAATCAAAAAAAGAACTTGCAACTTAATTTAAAGTATTATATATTATTCAATAAAAATATCAAATGAAAGTTTTCGGAGCTTGATCCTTACATATTGCCTATTTGTCTTATTAAATAATTTTTTGTAGCCGCTTACTTTCAAATTTCAATTTAAAATTTGTTCAAATTTAAAACTTTAAACTTCAAAGTTTAATTCTAAGCCTTAAAAGTTTGCAAACACTTAAGTATCAATAACATTGAATAAGAAAAATAAAATTTACTTTAAAAAAAAATAAAATTGCACAGCCCGGTCCAGCCCGCTAAGCCCGAACCCGGACGGACAAAAAAAATCGAAAAAGTATAACCCGCTAACAGTCCACTAATTCAACTCGCTAACAGCCCGGAACGTTAAACGGACGGGCTAATTTTTTTTGTGTACAACCCGTCTCAGCCCGCCCGTTAAACACCCATAATTTGAAGTATCTTAAACTGGTATAAAGGTTCTACAATGTTCCTGTGTGAGGATAATATATTTAGGAATGTATTCATACGATACCTATTTTAGTGTGTTGATGAGTTGTTTATACATGATCGTTTTAGATTAAAGTTTCGCACTTGTTAAGTTATAATGAGTTAATGTAGTTAG